AATCATTCGGACACACGTTCGTGGTCGTGTTTCCTGAACAAAATGTTCGAAATTTCTTTTCATTTCCTGTATGAGACATCAATCCGGATTCAATGACATGAATATGATTTTTCCACTCATTTTATTCTATTATTTCAATCACTTGCAGTTCAAATTTCACTTAAATCAATAAATTACTCAAAATGAAATTAATTCACTAAATATAGCAAACAGACCAAGAAATAGACCAACTTTTAACATGTAGTACCAAATGTCGTATGTGGGGAGTAGAAAAATTGTGGAGGGCCGAGGAGGGAAAAATAGTTTTTCAGTCGCCGAGTGTCTCCATAAACACTTGGCAAACCCATACACTTCGCCGAGTGCCGGAATAAAACACTCGGCAAATCAATACTTCGCCGAGTGTCTCTAACGGACACTCGGCGAAATCCTAACGGCCGGCACGCCGTCCGGTAGAACGGCGCACGCGCGGGTCACGTGTTGGTTATTGCCGAGTGTCCCCTAGAGGCCGAGTGTTGACACTCGGTAAATATTAGATATGCCGAGTGTAATAGTATGCCGAGTGTCTTGGAGTAAACACTCGGCAAATGTGTTGTTTGCCGAGTGCCCGATATAATGCACTCGGCAAACAGAAAGCCCTCGGCATTGTCACTGTTTCCGTAGTGTATGTGACTATATATGCGTCTATACTGGTTTTCTTTCACATAAATAAAATGAATGAGATGAGTTCAAATCATATTTTTTGGAACATGGAAATGGCTTGATTAGGATAACACAAAACCTTCTCCAGAATCCGATTGAGTCCCTCGCCTATTCAAGTTTATATACACCTCATATACGCCTTCAACAAATTTGCACAACCGCGCGGCCCGCCCTATCCAACAAGTCATTTTCTTCTGAACGGACTAATCAGCCCAACGGCTAGCGTTTTTTATTCCATTCCACATTCCAGGCCCAGATGCTTCCGTGACACGGACAGGATAATGAATTCAACGAATGAGAAAACACAGAAAGAAGGTTTGGGTAGTGTCCAGTGTCGTACCGAAATTCCTCTTCTGCTCGCGAATCAGCTCGTGAGCGACATGCCCCCACTTTTACTCTATATTTTTGCTCCTTTCTCCTTATTTTATTCCTTGTTCTCTTCCCACCTATCCCATTTCTTCCTTTTGGCTGTCCCCTTCCTTCTTTTTGTCTTTTTTCTAGTAGATAAAAAGCATAATCACAAAAAAAAAGTAGATAAAAAGCATCCTGCCGTATTAATTTTGTGTATTAGGGTGTTCTACTAGTAGACATTTTTTAGAAAACTTTTTTAAAAAAACTTGGTTTCCCACTTATCTCATCTATTATTTTTTTGCACATCCCTTCCTTGTTATTTTTCTCTATATTATATACATCCTGCCGTCTTTCTACATATCTCTCAAAAATAGTTTTTCAAAATATTTATGACCACAAAATATATTCAAATAAGTATTCAAAAAAATGTTTTGTAAAATTTTACTCCTCCTTCCCAAAATAAGTGTACATCTCGCTTCTCGAGAAGTCAAATATTTTTAAGTTTGACTAGGTGTATATACAAAATCAAGCATGTCTATGATGTTTAAGAAGTATCATTAGATTAACATTGGAACTTACTTTCATAATAAATTTATTTGGAGATACAAACATTGATATTGTTTTTTATACATTTGGTCCACAAAAGAATGCAACTATGGTATCTGTGTTTGTTAAAGTAGTTCAAGTTCGATCAAGTTTATAGTGAATAGTATTTATATTTATGTCTCTAAATTAGTTTATTATGAAAATATATTTTATAACGAGTCTAATGATATTTATTTGTATGATAAATATTAATATTTTTATATAAATTTGGTCAAACTTGAAAGTATTTGGTTTCTCAAAAATAGCATTTTTGGACAAAGGGTGTATTAGGAAGTTTTCTAGTAATACTTCTCAAAAAGTTTTGAACAATCATTCGTTGATGTTTTTCAAAGAACCTTTGTTCGAAGAAATATGCATGGAAAGACATACCGAAGAAATCGAGATATTCTCTTCAAACGTTCTCATAGTCATAGAAGTTATCACTAAAAGGTTCTACTAAAAGTTGTTCATGGAATTCTCTTGAAATTTTTACCAGGAGAAATTGTCCATAAAATTCTTTGAATAACTTTAAACTTTCCATATTTAAAAAATATTGAAAAGCGAAAATAGCTTGAACTCGGTGCTCGGATAAAAGAAAGAACCTATGAATAGATGGAGTTTCAGGTGGTGTTGGGGTGTTACATCGGGTATCACATGGGGTGTTACATGAGAGTGTTTGGATAGTAATAATAAAACAAATTACACAAGTCATCAGTAATCCGCGAGACGAATTTATTAAGCCTAATTAGTCCGTCATTAGTACATGTTTACTGTAACACCACATTGTCAAATCATAGACTAATTAGGTTTAAAAAATCATCTCTCAAAATAATAGCAATATGTGCAATTAATTATTTTTTAGTTTATATTTAATACCACATGTATGTATCTAAACATCCGATGTGATAGAAACTAAACTTTAGAGGAGGATCTAAACAAAGCCTCAATTACAGGAGAACATTTGGATTTTTATACAGCAGTCCAGTCCAGGCATTCCTCTGAATCTTGCAAAAAACAAGCTGAATACTACCATAATACAACCTAAAAAACGAGGTGTATACAAGTGATTCTCCAGCGAGACTTTCATTTTTCTGTACCTGACTGAAATGCAGGTGTGACTGTAGAGCAAACCTCTGCGCTGAACTTGCGAACTGTACAGAGTGCCAGCAGAAACAAGCCAGGCAAAAATCCATCCTTGCGCAGCAGGTTGAGATCTCCGTTCCATCACAGCGGCAGTAGCGAGCTGCGCGTGCGGCAATGCTGCGAGAGGAGCGTCCACCGGCTGCTGGCGGACAGTGACCTCTTCAGCTGGTGACCAGGTTCTGGTGACACCTCGCAGCAAACAGCACCGCCCGTCCCCTGCTTCTCGGCACCGGCCTGCTCGTCTTCAGGAGCCTCCTCGCCCGACGCCGTCGGCGGCGACGGCGAGTCCATGGAAGCCACCCGCCGAAAGTTCTGTGCCCGATCTCCGGGGTGCCGAATCTGCTGACGTTGTCGGTCCAGGGAGCTGGAGTGGTCGGGCTGATCGATTTCGACACGCAGCTCTTGCTGCTCGTTGGCCTGCTGACCGTGCCGCTCCTGTTCCATGGTTCGGGTATTGCTCCCGGGTTGTTCGGCCGAGGCGTCGGCAGCATCAGTGCCCGGGGGTTGCTCGGAGTCGGCGGCCGCGGCGGCAGTGTCCATCACCACGTTGGCGCGGCAGAGCGGGCAGGTGACATGGGCGCGGAGCCAGGTGTCGATGCACTGAACGTGGAACGCGTGGGCGCACTTGGGGAGCAGCCGCAGGAGCTCGCCGTCCTGGATTTCGCCGTGGCAGATGGTGCAGTCGGAGGCGCCAAGCACGCCGCCGGCGCGGTACCGCGTGAGCGCGATGGACTCGATCGCCGCGTCGTCGAGCCCGACGGTCCGGATGTGCCACACGTGGTGCACGACTTCTCCTTCTCCCCCGGGGCCGTCGTCGGGGAAGGTTGCGGGCGCCGCCGGGGTCAGGGCGGCTTCGAGGAGCGCCTCTCGCAGCCGCCTGCGCCGGACGAAGATAAATATGGAGAGGCAGAGGGCGAGGAAGGCGAGCACCGGGACGGCGATGATGAGAGCGGTGACGAAGGTGCTGCGGCCGTGGGAGGCGGGGGAAGGAGGAGGAGGGTAAGGCGGCGGTGGAGCTGGAAACTCATCAGGCGGGCACCCGAGAGGGCCTTGGCCGTCGGCGCAGGGCGAAGAGTTGTTGCGGTCGGATGGTAGCGGACCCATCGATGCAAGCCGGTCAGGTCAGGTCAGGCCGGAGACGGTGGCCGGTGCGCGGCCCGCTTGCTCGTGGGCGACGGATGGAGTGTGAGAACGAGGAGGAGACGGGAACGCCGCGGAGGGAGAAGGGCAGGCAGTAACTTCTTGGCTCCTTCGCACGCCGCATTAAACTTTGCCCGACGTGGTGCGCGTGGGAAAAACTTTGCCCGCGGGAGCGCGACGCGAGCGCGCGATGGCGTCACGACGCCGACGCGTGACTTTTGTGTCTGCAGTGGACTGAGTAGTGGCTGACGGAGGCCGAGGCGGGTGTTTTCGGTTGGCTCTTTGCTACGATGGCTGGCGTAGACACGCACGCAGCCACGCAGGCTACGCCTGGGGTTGTTGGGAGTCGGCGACCGCCGGGCCACTAGGCTTGAGGGCAGTCGCCTCACACAGCCTCACGTCAATCTGACGAGGCCGGCCAGGGGTACTTCACATGTATTCACAGTGACAAACCCAACCAGCCTGGTTTCAGTTAAGACTTATCAGTCAGCCAACAATATTTTTCTCTCACAATAAATCAACCCCAACCGGACTTATCAACTAACAGACCGAACATCTCAAAACTTTTTTTTTTTTTTGAAAAAGCTAGGCCAAAAGCAATACTGACATTTCAACTCAAACATGGCCAACTAGCATCGCGGCTAAACCACTCATTCTATGGTTTTTAGCGGGGAAAGGGCAGCGAAAAGCCACATCAAATCTAGAGTTATTACTAATGGATTCATTATGGTCATTAGGCTATGAACTTATGGTCCAGTATATTTCTTATTTGCGTTGGGGTTTTTTTTACATGGAATACCCTACTGCAAAATCTTGGCTCCACCACTGCACCATTCGATCGCAACTCCAACGGGACAACCACACCACCAAGGCGACAAAGCTCAACGCCATTCATTATTAGCCATCTTGAAACCTACAGTTACAATTGAAGAACAAATCGATCTACTGAAACATCGCCTTCTTTGCGAAAGAATCTACGGAAATATGTGGGGAGATAATGTCACGTGTTCCCCAAAAGAAGAAATCGTATCACTCTTTGTGCCACCAAGCTGGAATTGGGATGGAGGCGCGCTTTGTTGGGCCTAATGCTTCTCTTCTGTGCTCTGGCTGCTGCTTGGTTGGTTAGCCTGCGCATTAGCCAATCCATATACATGTCCCATCTTTGTTCTTTTGGTCTCCAGGTACCTGCGGTTCTCACTGGTAATTGGCGTAATCAAGGGCACCCTGCCCGCAATGCTCAGACCATAACCCTTCAGACCACTATATTTTGCAGGGTTATTAGTCATCAGCTTCATTGAACGGACTCCTAGATCCCGTAATATCTGCAAAGTAGTGAAATGTCAGTGACCTACTCATTACACGACAGGTTACTTCGCTCGATGCACATTACAGTTTCAGAACTGTAACAGGCATGAAATTCTTCAATGCCTTCAAGTAAATTCAAGTTGGAGCTCTAGAAAAATATATGATACAACTTTCCTATACGAGCAGACTTCAGGAAAAAAAAAAAGGAAGTGTTATGGAGAAAGGTTCCACGATAAATTGATAGATATTTCAGTCTTTACCTGTGCGCCAATCCCATATTCCCGTGAGTCCACAGGAAGACCAAGTTCCTCGTTAGCTTCCACAGTATCACGCCCATCATCCTGTAAGTTATAAGCACGAAGCTTGTGGCCCAGACCAATACCCCTTCCTTCATGTCCACGGAGATAAACTAATACACCCCTTCCAGCCTTTTCAATCATCTCCATTGCCATTGCAAGCTGGTCACCACAATCACATCTTGCGGATCCAAAAATGTCGCCTGTGAGGCACTCAGAGTGCACCCTCACCAAAATGTCTTGGCCATCACCAATATCACCCTGCCGATCATTGGGTATGTGATTGATAGTTAGACCAGGTATTGTACAAACAGTAATATAATACCTCAACCAAATTCTACAGAGGCAAAATAGTACTGAAGTGACTTACTTTCACCATGGCAATATGCTCAATGCCATCAATAACAGATCTGTAGCAATAGGCACGGACATTGCCCCATTTCAAAGGCAAGCGTGCAACAGAAGCGCGTTCAATTAGCCTGTCTCTTTTCCTCCTATACCTGCAACAGATAAAATTCTGTTAGCATACCAGTCAATACATCAAGGATCACCAGCAACAGCACATAAGAATACCGAAGAGGCACGCACATAGCCAGCCATAGGGACTAATATAACTCTTGCAACCATATTAAGTACATCACTTTGAATCATATGTTACAACTAGGATAGAGAAAAGAAATGTAGGCCTCTGCCTGAAAACACTTTCAGATCCTTTTCTTTTCTTTTCTTTTTTACCAGCAAACACTGTTTCAGCATAATTATGAAATAATTGAAGAGAAAACTGTTAAATGGTAATTGAAAGTGGTACTGACACATTGACGTATGCTAGCTAGATGCTGATACTGTCTTAGTAGCAACATGTCAGGTATCAGAAGCTGAAGTTTTGGTAATTCAAACTCACCTAATCAAGTCAGCAATAGATATAATCTTCAAATTCTCCCTTTCAGCAAAGACACGCAACTTTGGTAGGCGAGCCATGGAACCATCTGCATCATCCACAATCTCACAAAGGACAGCAACAGGAGGTAATCCAGCCAGCATAGCAAGGTCAACAGATGCCTCGGTATGTCCAGCTCGTTTTAGAACACCCCCTTCTCTGTATTTCAAAGGGAAAATATGACCAGGGCGGTTGAAGTCCTCAGGCTTAGAGTCAGGAGATGCAAGAGTCATGACTGTTTTTGCCCTGTCCTTGGCAGATACCCCAGTAGTTGTGCCCTCTTTTGCATCCTGAGAAGCAAAACATTACAGATACATAGCTCAGTAGCAGACAAAAAAACATCGGAGAAGTTTCATAGGGACCAGATCATAAATTAAGGCAAGTTGGATAGATATTTCCCTAAATCATTGAAATAAACAGCTATAAGCATCGCTAACTTAGTAAGCCTAAACATAAAAAAGAATAGAAACTTAGCTCACTTTTAATATTCAATACAATGTAAGTGTTGTAGAGTCATTACCTGAATGGAACAGTAAAGAAAGAGCAAACTAATCATGTGACAGAACAGTAAACAACACATTGTCCAAAAAGAACAGTATAGAATTATCTCAAATTCATTGCCACAGCAGGAAGGTAGCAGGGACAGTAAAGAAGGAAGTTTTTCCCCTTTTATGAAAAACAGGTTCCAAGACAACAAAATCACATACCACAACTGAATTCAAATGGATAACAACCAGCTGTTCTCTAAGTATGAACAAAAATCACTCAAATCAACGCATCGAGTATTTCAGCATGTAATAAACAGCAACAGCTCCTGCGTATGAGCTATTTATTTGATAAGGAAACCAATCGTGAAGACAACGATGCTACGTGTACATACTTCTGACAAGAAACAACAAAAGATTACCATATCAACATCAAAATAATAATGACACATACCACTGTAACAGTGAAAGCAGTGCATAGCTTCTCCTCGTTTTCTTTTGTGGTAACCATCAAAGGAAGGTTTAGTCTTTCCAGATCATCTTCTTTCATGCTGACACAAACAATTCCTGTCCCATGCCTTACTATAAAAGCCATAGCCTCTGGGGTAACCAAGGAGGCAGCCATTATCAGATCTCCTTCATTTTCCCTTGATTCGTCATCAACAACAATCACAAGCTTCAAGTACAAACCAATGTTAGCAGAGCATTAGATGAGATGGAAGTACAGGATATCATAAGAAAGTTTTAAGATGTACTAACTTTTCCTTGTCGTATGTCCTCAATGGCATCTGCAATCGATGCGAAGCCCTCTGTCGGGCTATCCAAATCTTGTTCAGTATCTGTGTCATCGTCTGCGAACTTCTCCACAACACGTGCCAAATTAGTAGATAGGATTTCTGGCGTAATCATGGAATCCATTGGGAGTACAGGGTCAGCAACCGGATGGTCCTGGCCACGGACGGATGTGCTTTTTAGCAATAGCGTGTCGCCATTCCCAGAGACACCGCCAGCTGGATAACTACCATCACTTTTGAAGGATGATGCTACTCTCAAGCTCACTGATTTCACCTTGGTGCTGTTTGAATTTGCAGCGAAGAAACTGCAGACCGGTCCCTTTGTCTCCTTGGATACACTGCACCCTTTCAAGAACTGCGCACTGCATTGTCACAAACAGGCAATCAGAAACCAAAAATCGTTCTCAAACACCGAAATGAGCGTGGCTTTATGAATGAACGTTAGAATATTTTTCTCTAGTTCAGTTCCAACTGAAAAGGATACTCTTTCACATCATTGTCATGTAAAAATTGCAACTATGTTCTCCTGCGTTTCATCAATTATTCAGTTTACTGACAAGTCCACACAGGTTGAGACAGATTATATCAGGCATACAAAAGCGTGGCCTTTCGTGCCAATTTTTGTGCTCCAAAGCAGACCAAATCAAAGACGACCAACAAACCGAGCCACAAAGGAATGCCAGCAGGAGCAATCGAAGACGATCAACAAACGGAGCCACAAGGATATAGTAGGAGCAACCCCCTCCCTCCTGTTTCCTAAAGAACAAACCGGGCCGGCGCAAACATGCGAACAAGCAAGAGCACGGGTGGGGACTGGTGAGGGAGCGGCGCAGGCAAGAGCAGCTTCTTACGGTTGGCGGGTGAGGGCAGCGACGGAGGAAGACGGAGGCGCAATCGAAGCCATGCTCGCCTTGACCGCTGCGCCGGACGAGGAGGGACAAAGCAACCTGCAATCACATCAGAGCGCGCGACGGATTAAGCAAACAAGCTCGAATTTCAATAGAATCGAGGAGCAGTGGTAAATAAATATTTTTTTAAAAAAAAACGGGAGCCCCGTCGGAAAACGCGAGATCTGGTACAGGTCAAACCGAGGCAGCCGAGCTGGCGATTGCTCGCGCCCAGAAGCTTACGAGACAACGGGAAGGAGCGGGCGGGGGCGGGAATGTCTTACCGTCGGCGCTGCTCCGGCGACGTCGGCGATTGCAGGAGGACAAGTGCTGTTTGGGTTTTGGTTTTGGGGGTGATTAGGAGGAGAACGGGGTTGGTGCGGTGCGGTTGGGGCGCGGGTGGGAGAGGCGTCGAGACGGAGCGGGTGAATTTATAACGTGCGGTCACGGACGCGGCAGGTTCCTCTGCACGGGCTTCGGATGCACTGGCGTCAACCGGGTCTGGACTCTGGATTCGCTAATAAAGAATGAGCAGGTACCAGCATGTCCGGATGTGTGCCTTATCGGATCCGGGTTGGAGCATAAACGCCACCAGGAATCCGATAACAGAGGTGGGGGACAAGCGCGTCGCGGTTTCGCGTGGTCGTTTCCGAGCAGACAAACCCGGGCCACGGCAGCATGAGCACGGAAATGGTGAGGAGCAACGGCCGACTGGAGCCACCGGATGTGGATGAGATTTGACCGTCCAGCAGTTCGGCGGCGGGGCCCGTAGGACCCACAGCACCTTCCCGAAGGTGGTCTGGTCAGCTGGGTCAAGCAGCCTCGCCGAGTCCTCGCCCCGCACGCAGAGGAAGAAGAAAAGCCCCCCTTCCCTTCTCTTCTCTCCTCTCCGCAGAACGTGCGTGCGGTTGCAATCGGGTGACGTCGACGCTGACGCGAGTAACATGAAAAATAAATGAATACTTTTTAAAAAGAGTTTACCCTCAGCTTTTAAGAAAGCAAAAAAATGAATGAATATTTAAGTCTTAGTTTGCTTTCAGCTTTTAACTTCAACTGTTGAAAGCAAAAAAATGAATGAATATTTATCAGTCTTATGCAACTCTTTGCTTTGCTTTGTAACTTCAACTGTTGATTCTAATATACGCCAGTAAGGATCGGCCTCCGATCCCTCTGTTTCTTTTTTTTACCCCAAAAAACTTGAATTCGCTTCAAACGGCAAACTGAATCTGGAGAAGCCCTGCCAAACGGGGCCTAAGGATCGGCATCCGATCCCTCTGTTTCTTTTAAAAAAAAACTCATCTCTTATGTCTCTTATTAATTCATCTTATTAGTTGTTAATAATTTTATTTAAAATACATCATTATCATTTAATACGAACTAATTTTGCACTAACAATATCATTGATATTAATGGGTAAGTATTTGCATGGGAGAGGCTGTAGTGTTTAACAACTTTTGCTTTGCCCTTCGTGTTAGGCTGGACCTTAGGGCACTCCCAACCTATAATTTCTATGGATAGTTTCTAAGAAAAAAGAAGAGCAATTAATTAATGCACCTTAGAAACTATCTTTCTCAACCCATAATTTCTATAGCAGTTTCTATATAGATAAGAACTTAAATACACAATAAAAAGATATGGATCAGCTGTGGTAATCAACAAAATAGCCTTCATATGTACATCCGGTACATCTCACCTACACTGAATGAGTTTTAAAAAAAACATATAGAATAACGCTAGTAGCAGAACATAGGATGCTAGTAGTTTTTTTGATATTTTTTATATACAAGTACATGCAAACAGTATACAGAAGAACACATATTCTTCTTGGAATCTTGGTATCTCTGGCTAGCTCCGTTTGAGCAGCACTGGCATATAGGAAAGAAACGTCACGCAGTGGTGGGAGGTGAGAGTGAGACGGGTTAAGCGGATCCGGGTGGCAGGCGGGAAGGAAGCCATGGACACGATCTGGGATGGTCTAACGCGTAATCTATCATTTCCTTCGGTCTTAGACCACGAGTAGACTAACTCAGTTGCTACATCAACAAAATTGCTTAGTGGCAATACTATTTAATACCATGGAAACTACCCTAGTTTCAGGTTGGGATTGCCCTCACTAGCATTGTTGGAGTTTGTGCCCTAACTGATTATAGAGATATATTTAACCCGTTTGATTTTCCTCTCCTCTCCTTTTGGTCTCTCAACTCAGGGCAAATCCGAATGAAAACTTTTATATAACCTGCTTACATTATTGTTCTTACTCTTAATTTTCTCGGGGGACGATGCATGACGTCAGACAGCGGTAGACAGTGAAATCTCTCCAGGGCATGCACGACTAGAGATCAAATAATTGTGCCCACGAGAAGCGCGAGACAGCGAAATGTGTTCTGGGAAACAGGCAAATATAGTGTGCCCGGCCAGTGCGCACACACACACACACAAATGACAGCTTCTGTTTTACTCGCCGTGCCGTGACCACGTAAAATGGGAGCGCACACACACCGACACACGTGAGACGTGACAGCTGCAGCACGCGCGACCATGAGGACGGACACCCATGGCGATGCAATGCAAGTGACCAGACCGTGCGTGCAATGGGGTGTTTGTTTGAGCGGACCTCAACATACTGCGGATAAGTATTGCTCCCATGCGCGGATGATGATTTTTAGTAATCACTTTAAAGTTATTAGAGATGATAAAAAATGCGGACAGCTGTGTGTATATAGCTTTATAGTTAAATAGTGTGTAATTAAAAAAAAGACTAAAATAAAAGCTGCTAAATTTAAATGATAAAAACAAACTCGATACGATTCGCACAAACAAACCAAAATCAATCACACCACGGATTTTTCTTCTTCATACTGCGGATAAGTACGTGCATGCTCCCATGCGCGGATGATGATGGGGGGCATATGATATCACCGGCGAGCGATGGCACTGGATAATGCGGACAGCTGTGTGTATATGGGAGTATACATTAAAGGTAAGGCCACTCGTTCAGCAAGAATAAAGGAAAAAAGAGAAGATGCTAGTGATGATAAAATAAGCAAACTCGATACGATTCGCACGCAAACCAAAATCCAGTCCACACCACTTCGAGCGAGATTTTTTTCTTCTTCAGGCCTGGTTGGTTTAGTTCAAAAAATTAACCCCAAAAACATATTTATTTTATAAAAACTTATTTAGAGATACGAATGTTGATTAAATATATAATTTAAAAAATAAAAGCATGAATCAGTTTGGTTGGAAATCGCAAAATTCCAATCTACTTTTTTTTAAGACTAATTAGTCCATGATTAGCCATAAGTGCTACAAGTATTCAAACATGCTTAATGATGAGTTAATTGTGCTTAATAAATTCGTCTCCCCCATGTGTCTTATGCTAGATATACTTTGTTCGACCCTTGTCACCTATCTAACCTCTTTTTTAATGTTCCAACCCCCCCCCCACCCCCCCCCCCCCCCCCCACACACACACACAGAAAATCTTCCCCCAAAGCCCTATAATTAGATGGGCTTTTTTGATAAGATCATCAACTCCTCTCTCTCATGTGTCTTTTTTTTTGTCTCTTCCAACGGCCGCCTATTCCAAACATCCGACGCGACCCTTCTAAAAATTTTCATTTCGCGAACTAAACACATCCTAAATTATGGCATCGCATTCGTTCTCTCTCAAAAGAAGATGCTCCTGGTGTCGCCGAGTCGCCGCCGACTATGCTCTCTCCTCATCAGTTTGATGACATTGACTAGTTGTACTTGTGCCTTGTGCCGTTGTGCGCTCGCCGCCGCCGGCGCTTGGAGGCGCACGGAGAAAACGTTCTTCCATGGCAGCGCCAGCGTCATGCCAGCGCCAGCGTTCGCACGACCGCACCAGTTTCCTCGAAGACGCACTCAGGTCAGACTGAGTGACTTGACTTCGATGCCGGCTTCCCACTCCCACACGCCCCTGCGACCGGGACCGGGCGGTACCTGGTCTGACCGGGGCCTGCTCACCCAACCTTTTTATAAAATTGTAATTCACGTTTTTTCATCAATATTAAAGTTAACTAAGTATATACCAAATACTTATACTGATTAATCATAAAACATATTTATTTTATAAAAAACTTATTTAGAGATACGAATGTTGATTCTCTTTTATAATTTAGTTAAATTTGAGATAAAAGCATGAATCTTAAGCATCTTCAACAGGGATCCTATACAAAATTCCAACTCTACTTTTTAGTGCCAGAAAAAACCTTAATCTATTAGGGTCCAATTTGAGTGTCCATTTTTGTGTACCCCCCCCCACACACACACACACAAAAATCTTCCCCCAAAGCCCCATCTCTCAAGGTGTGTGATGGGCTCCCTACTTTTTTCATGATAATTTTCCGCATCAACTCCCTCTCATGTGTCTTTTTTTTTGTCTCGACTCTCTTCTGCACCGCCGCCCTATTCCATGGTGCCACACTGTTAGTGAGGCCAAACCCACCCTTCCTGACCACTCTCGTTGAAGTCTTCCCTCCTCCCACCACAGACTCACCAAGGCCACACCCACCTCTCCTTTGTGGTGCTTCCTCCCGTCATGCTATCATTGAGGCCAAGCCCACACCCTCCCATCGAGGCCCTCCACCTGCCGATCCCCTCGCTCTCTTCCTAGCATGAGAGGGACAGGAACCACGCGGGGAATAAGAGTGGGAAAAAATAAAAAAATAACAGTAATATGACTGACAAGTAGATAAAAAAAGTAGGGACCCTAATTTAAGAGTTCACCTAGTAAACAAGACTCTTAAAAGTAGAAGAAATCTTTAAATCCTAAATTGAGGTTATGTTTTAGTAGCCATTGTTAGAGTTGCTTAGTTCTCTATATTGTACTTTCTTTTTGAATTGAGCTCTCTATTGTACTCCCTCATTCCTAAATTATGAGTCATTCTAAGTCAAAGCATTTCAAGTTTGATCAAATTTATATAACAAAATAATAATATTTGTGATATCAAATAAGTATCATTAGATTCTTCATTAACTATATTTTCATAATGGCAAAATTGGCTAGCGGACACTGAAAGTGGAGGTCGTTTGCTGGCGGACATCCAAAATGGAGCCATTTGCTGGAAGACACTTTTATTGCTAACAATTATGCTACCGGACACCGCGCCTCATATTTTATTTATTTTCACCTGCCGAGGAGAGAGGAAGATAGAGAAATGTCATTCTTACCCTTGTCTTTTTCTTCTTCCTCTCTATCAACTCTTTTTTTTTTCCTCTCTCTTGGTAAGCAATCCGAAAGGTGTTTGGCCCCGAAGCTCATCCTCCCTCATCGGCGCCACCTCATCCAGCTCCCCAGTCTGCGCTTCCACGCCACTAACGGCGTCGATTCGCTGGGCGACACACCCAAGCGCCAATTGCAGCGCTTCTAGTTTCGCTGCGATGCTCCGTGCTCATTCCACTCTTTCTCCGGTCCACGGAACTCCATCGCCGCGCGAGGTAAGCTCCGCCGTGATCCTCGGGTCATCAAGGCTACGCCGCTCCGGAGCGCGCAGCTTCAACACGTTCGGGGTGAGCCACCGATGCTTTACGCGAAGCTTAGGGACGTCGGGTCGGGCGCCGAGAGTGATTCCCTGGTAATCTCCAAAGCTCGTCGCGCCCCCCGTGCGGTGGATGTCCCGCCGTGTGTTGTTCGCGGCGTTTCGCCAATGCCAAGTCCGGTTGGGGGATAGCCGCCGCCATCCTTTTGTTAATGAATACGCCGAAACGTCATCTCATCGCCAAAAAGTCTGAAAAATTTTGTGGCTTCGCATGCTCTATTATGGATTTGAAACTTAAAATTTGAATAAATTTTAATGTTCAAAAATTTAGTCAATTAATTGATAAATGTAATTTCCATAATTTTTGTAGGTCACTGTGTAGCGCCAAAATTATGAAATTTATTAAAGTACACTAATTTGCGCGCGAAGCTTACATAAAATTTCGAGGTCTTGTCAAGTTTATTTTTGGGCTTATTTCAAATTAATTAAAATTGAATAAAAGCAACCCTAATTATTAGGGTTAGGTTTAATTTTTATTTGGGTCATGTTGTGTGACCAATAGAGTTTCAAAGATCAGTTTGGTCAAGTTCCGTGTGGTTCTTTAGCAAGTTGGTTTTGTGTTCGCAAGTGAGGGTATTTGGAGTGTTGTTACATTTCATGACAGTGAAAGCATCATGTTTACATTATTATCTGTTAAAGCCCATGACGTGTAGCCGAGTTGAAACGATTCTAGCGCAAGCATGAAAAGCTGGCGCGCGGGGGTGACGATCCGAAAACCGCATCAAGGCAAGCGGTGAAAACCCGGCATGGTTACTTTGAAAAGTTTATCGCCGACATGCATTAAGTTTCGACAATGGGCGAAGCGCCGCGCGTGTTGAAGCTTGTCTCCGGCGGTACTAGACCGCCTGCGCGGGCGCGCGATGTTTTCATTTATAAAGGCGCGAATGCTTACGTGGTGGCGTCAAAGATCTGGCCGAAAGAAAGAAAGAACGTTGATGAACTAACCTCGCCTCCTCCTCTTGAACGCGTAATGTTTAGGTATGTCATTCAGCCACTCATTGTGGATCTTTTGAACCACTTTGTAGTGGTCACATACTCCGGCGACTTCAACTAGCGGCTAAGGCTCGAAGCCTCACGACCGGGGTCGTGAGATGGCGGGAGAAGCGTCACCTCGTGGGAATGTGGCCGGATTTGAGGCTCCGCTCTCGTGGCGTGGAGCGCTTAGTATGGGAGGACGGACGAGTCTTGATATATGCAAGATTAAGTTCTACATATGTCGGTGATAAGGAGATTTGGGACTTGAATCGCGCCATGGCTCATGGATATGGAGACTCGATTCATTTGAGCAATGCGGTGGTGAATTACTAAAACATGAGAAAAAAAAATAGAATGAGATGATTGGAACATGGGATATGAACACTTGGTTGGAGATAATGAACTAAAGTACTTAGGGGTAAAACTTGAAATTAGGATCCGAATAGTAAGTTTGGCAAATAACGATCTTTCTACACAATGTCCCAAGCTGCATCCCTTTCGGCCTTTTCCTCGGGCATCTTGTTGAGTACTTTTGGCTCGATCTCAAGCATGCGTAGGCTTGTTTTCTCCTTCGCATGTCGATGTTTGCATGATCTTGGACATGGCCTTTGGACAAGGACAATGTAATATTATCCGCTATTATGGTTTTGTAAGTTTGAAACAACCGGTTCCCTAAAACCTTCAAAATGGGTCACCATGGCGCTGAAATTATGGTTTTGTTCTCGACTCCCGCTGGTTTGTTATATCGGAGTCCTCATGGGCTAGCAAGGTATGGCGGGAGCACTCGCAGACATGTGCCCAACTACATATGGCACCGGAATCACCAATGGTCCACCGAAAGATTGGAGTGGGAGAGATGGGAGCAAGGTAGAAGTAAGGGGCATGGGCAAAAATGACATTTCACTGTTCTTCTCGAAAGCCATAAATGAATATTTTATTGGGCGGAGTATCCACCAGCAAATTTGTCATGAATCAGAGTGTTCTCTAGCAAATCGCTCCATTTTGAATATCCAGCGGCGAAGTGTGGTCACTTTCAGTGTCCAGGAACCAATTTTGCCTTTCATAATATACCTATTCGATATCATAAGTTTTTATATTTCTCTCTATAATTTTCGACAATGCTTTAACTCTAAAAAAAAGTTTGAATGTCTTATTATTTGAAATGGAGGAAGTACTTCTAGTACGTTACTTTATCTAGTACGTTTTTAGACTTTGGAGCGGAGGAAGGAGGCAGTTACAAGATAAAACGCGAAGCCAAGTTTACGTTACGGCCGGTCCACAGGCCCAATCCGTGCCCAGCCCAGCCAACGATCCGCGCCCTCCGCGAAACAGCCATCACGGCGCAGGTTCACAGCCGCCTCGATCCGCGCCTGCGCGCCACGCGCCGTCCGATTCCGATCCGATCCACCTGGCCCTGGCCTTCACACACGCCTCTCGCGCCAGCGGTACCCTCCTCCAACCGTAGCGCGGCCGTCTCCCACTCGTCGCTGTGCCTATAAAGGACTCCGCGGTCACCGGGTTTGTCCGTCTGTTTGCGCGAAAAAGGGGAGGAATCCTCTTCTTTCCTGGCCGTCGTCGTGTCGCTCCAGATTTGGGGAAGGAAATCCGGCTAACCGCGAGTCGAGTCGAGAGGTGAGTTGCCCTCCCGCGCCTTCCCTTGTCTGGAAACTGTAGTTTCGGCCTTTTGGGTGACGTTCGTTATTAGCCGCGCGCGCTTGTTGGAGGTTAGGGTTTCGTTCGAATCGCCTGACGCGATCGATGATGATTCACGGGGGCATCCTCCGCCCTTTTCTTATCTGTTTGGTCGTGCCTTTGCGTATATACTTTCTAATTTTTGCGATTTGCCGTCCTAGTATTCTTTCTGACGTGTTGTCGGCCCTTTAATCTGATGTTTCGTATATCAAATCGAGGCTTAGATTCGAATGTGCATTTTTCGAGAGCGGCTGTTGTACCGGATGATTAGGTTAGAGGTTACCTTGCATCTGGGCTGAACCATTCTGTGGATGCTAGATTTGCGTCTGTGTGTTGAAATTGCTGTCTATGTTTAACTCTGATTGATTGGTAGATTCTGCCACTTTTGGCTTGCAACATTGTGCTTCTATTGTTGCTTAGGTTGGGCTTTCTAAATGGGCTAGTGGCTTGCACCATTGCGCAGCATTGTGCTTCTATTGTTGAAATTGCTGTCTACTTTTAGTTCTTCATATAGATTTCTATAACCAGGGTTTGTTACGGGGCCCAAACAGTAATAATGTTGTTTGAATGCTGCTGTGGGAAAAATCTAGGAGAGGGCAGTCCTCCCTCTGCCCCTGTCCAGAAAGTTGATATTAATTTTATTATCAATGATTATAAATGAAGTTGAATGGATGGTGTTCTACTTGTGCTTTTATGCTTGTTTTGAAAGCAATGGCAGGAGCTCTGCCTTTCAATTAAGTAGACAGGGCACCCTATATTTTCATCATTATGCAAAATTGTGGATGGTTTCAATAGATTTGTGCATGCAGTATTCATTTGAAGAAGGATTCTGGTATTTCTCGTAGTCAGGATAGCGGAATAGGAATAGGCTATTGATCCTCACTTGCAAGTTAGCTTGTTCTGAAACGTCAGATTTGTTCAGGTCATTACTGGGTGAAAATGTTGTATGTTGTCTTGAAACTACATTTGCAATGTTGCTAAATGAAACTGGGATTCTTGTCTTGGTACATTTGTGGTATGGAAAATGCAATTTCAACTCAAGTATTTGACTGAAAGTTCTGAATAACTTGCTTTGTGTCCTGTGTTTGTTATTCAAGCCGGTAATGTACTTACAATCTGGTGTAAGATGTTTAGGTTTTTTATGTATTTGATTTGATAACCATGCATTGGTTGCCTCATTGGTTGAAGCACAAAAGATTTTACCTGTAGTTTCTTTTCTTGGAAAATACCTATGTGCACATGCACCTGTTTTTTTGGAAAATATTTTACTGATGTTGCTTAAGATAGTTCATGTGACACTGCCATTGCTATTTATGCATTGAACAGTTACAAAGTTTAAAATCAATACTGTGCATGCAAGTACATATACATAACTGAATAAGATATGCATTTTATTCATGATTGTGTGTGCATTTAATTCATGATTGTGTGTGCAAAAGCGTGAACAAACCAAACAAGATCTGTTTATGAACTAGTTTTGTAGCCAGCTAACCCTGATGCAGGGTAAGGTTGTGAGGAGAAATAGTATTAGTGATGATAGTAGAATTCATTAGATATGGTGAACTTGTTGGACTTCCCTTTTTATTCGAAACCTGCAACCATGCCTAATTGTTTAGCTTTATTTACAAAACTCATCCTATCTGTAATATTTGTATACAGCAAACAGTTAGGTAAACTAGTAGCTTATGCAAAGATGCAACCTGTTAATGGAGATGGAAAGCTTCCCTTCCATTGGATTTTATGCATCACCTTTTCTTTTCTTATTATTGTGGAGTAACTGGAATTACTTTCTGCACGCCACCTTTTATTTTCATGTTATTGTGGAGTACCTGTCATTTCTTCTACTCCCTCTGTTCCAAATTATAAGTCGTATATGTAAATGCATAGCAAAAGCTACGTATCTAGAAAAGCCAAAACGACCTAGTATTTGGAACGGAGGGAGTATTTATCACCTTTTCTTTTACTTTGACTTAGTCTTAGGTGATGTACTGTAATTGTCGAATAAAAAGAACAGTTATGTCTTAATATTTCCTTAAGGTAACATATACTGGGTGTGAACTAACCTGAGACTTGTGTACTGTGTGCTTGAATCTCTTTTGGGAAGATTTGTAGACTTTGAGCATGATCTGTAGCCAGAGCTTCATTGTATATGTCCATTTCAGTTTGCAGTTATTTTATAATTCAGTCTTTTGTATAGGACTAGATGGCGCGTACCAAGCAGACTGCTCGCAAGTCCACTGGAGGAAAGGCTCCTAGGAAGCAACTTGCTACAAAGGTTCGTTAGGTGTTCCTTTTAGTGTATGTTTCTGTGGTGTGCCTACAGAATCACGCTTTACAGAACTGATGGTTGATAAACATTGTTGTTTTGCTTTGACAGGCAGCCCGTAAGTCTGCACCCACAACTGGAGGAGTGAAGAAGCCTCACCGTTACCGCCCAGGGACTGTTGCTCTTCGGTAGGTGCACACAACTATCTTCAGTTGATACTATAAATCTTTTGGCAGAAGATATTCTGCAAACACTTGTCCCATAACTTCTTCCTTTCTAGTGAGATCCGCAAGTATCAGAAGAGCACTGAGTTGCTGATTAGGAAGCTGCCATTCCAGAGGCTTGTAAGGGAGATTGCTCAGGATTTCAAGGTGAAAGCACTAAAATCTTACATGCCGACATTTATGCTATATGTGAGATCCATGGAAGGTCTGTAGAGTTTGTATGAGAGCGTGTGTTCTTATTTCTCTTTCCTGAACTGCCTTGCAGACGGATCTGCGCTTCCAGAGCCACGCGGTGCTTGCTCTGCAGGAGGCAGCTGAGGCCTACCTGGTCGGTCTCTTTGAAGACACCAATCTGTGTGCCATCCACGCCAAGCGCGTGACCATCATGCCCAAGGACATTCAGCTGGCAAGGAGGATCCGCGGCGAGAGGGCATAAGTCTGTCCTCGATGGGAGGAAGGAAATAACTCTGCGTGCGTTCTGTGTTCGTCTCGCCGTGTAGGTTTTGTGACTGTAGCCGTTGTGGCGTATGCGCATGCTATTGGCAGTTCGCGTGTCTGGAGTCTGCACTGAGTCTTTTATTCGTTTTGCTTTGGAGCGTAGTCGGTTGTCGTGATATATGTTATCCAGGCCTAACTACGGATTTGGTTGTCTGAACCTCTGGATATTCATCGTATTCGTCTGTTTGTCAGATTTGCGCAGTTTCTTCAACGTCTCTGGCGGCCGTTCCGGTCTCCACTGCGAGTTAAAGTGGGCTGAGTGCCTGAATTGTTTGGGAGTGAATATCGGGTGGCCGTGCACCGCAAGATCAGCCGAGCCGACTGAGCAATGAGCTCCATGGTCCAATGTGGGGGAGTCCTTGCGCTGCTCTGCCTTGATGTCGCACCGTCAGTTTGTTCTGGTTCTATTTCCGCCCTCACTGGTTTGGGCATCGCTGTTGCCATTGCTTTCGGAAAAAAGAAGCGTTCGTTCGATTGCTCGTACAGCCGTACGTACGTACTAAGCAGAGTGCTTGTCATGACGATTCGTTCGTTTCGTTGGATTGTCAGTGCCTGTCTACCTGAACCTGAAGCCAGCCATGGCCATCCATATTCAGCAGCATGGAACGGAAGGAGTCCGGGCGCCCCTGTCACTGAACAGGACAGGCCGATGCACCTTGTCTGTGGTGAAAGAAACCGTCAAATGGACGTACGCCGACCACCTGCCATCGGATCCGACGACGGCGTCTGTGCGAGCAACAAGTTTATCGTGTCTAGTCTAGCAGGTGAAGGGTGATGCGAGCGAGCACGTCGAGTGGTCCGCAGCCATCCACTCCAGCGGGATGACGCGAACGCAACTGCCGCCGCTCCACGTCGCTTTTCGCTGCCGCCGCGCCAGCTCGGCGCTCTCTTTGATCGCCCTTCTTCCCTCGTCAGACAGATGGAGCCAGCAACCCTGTATAACCGCTCTCCGTGCTCTAGCTTCACACTAGATATCTATTAGTACTAACTAGTAGACGGATTTGGTGTCGATTGGCTAATAGATAAAAAAACTGGCATGCGAGCTAATTAAGGCGACAGTTTCCTGAGTTTTCAGCGCGTAACAAGCCAACAGGCAGGTTTGAGAGCCAAGGATTGATGCTAGCTAGCTGTAGTGACCTAATCGTCCCTTTTCTTGGCGATATACTAAAACAAAGCAAACCGTGACGAAAACCTATCCACATTTTCCCTCTTGTTATTTCAGCATCCGGCGCTGTCACGCCAGTAGCGACCCGACACATCAGGGGCCGGGGACGACGTCTGCGCCCAAATAATGGCTCTATTCGCTTCAACTTATCAGCCGTACTGTTTCAACAAAATAATAGCGTTTTTCTCTCGCAACAAATCAGCATCAGCTGTTTTTCCAGCCAGCCGAACAGGACCAATGTATCCACTAACTGCGTCGCCAATGCACCGCCTTCGCCTAAAACAAACGGCCTGATCAAGAAAGACGATGCGGTATTATTGGCGGCTCGCGGCTCTCGCTTGTAGACGGCATTGCGTTAAGGCTCTCGACAGGGAGATATTTGGCGTCGAGCGACCTGTCCAGAAGATTAAGTGTGTGTGTGTTTGGCAGGCCTGAGGGGCTTCTTCGGCTCCTCTTTTTTCATTGAGAAACGGCTTCTCTAAAAAAACTCTTGATCCGTGGGGGTAAGACAGTCCCGGACATTGTGCTTAAGAAGAAGATTTTCTCACGCAGGTCGAGAAAAAACTCCGAACCTCTTCCCCACCCATACATAGCGGCACCGTAGCTCCCGTGAGACTGGGCTGGCCTTAGACCTATGCTTTGGCGTGGGACGGATGAGGGATTTTTTTCAACACGCTGATAAACTACACCTCCTCCGTCCAACAAATCATTTGGTAGGACTCCACCTGAGGAGTAAAAGCAAAAGCCGGAGAGGAGCTCTAATAAACAGACGCTAATTATCATCCTGTTTATTGCAGCAGCACCGTGGTAAACGGACTGACGCAGCAAGCAGCAGCAAAGTGCACACATGGCATGCCCTGAGTGATCAGAAGCGGAAACATCTACCGGGTACAAATGTAGTCCCTCAGTCTCAAAAGAATGTAATTATATAGGATTCATACCGGTTAAATAAATTTAATTTTGATCAAATTTATAGTAAATAATATTAGCATTTATGTCTTTAAATAAATTTGTTATGAAAATATATTCTATTACTAATTTAATAATACTTATTTTGTATCATGATTATTAGTATTTTTTATATAAACTCAGTTAAACTTTAAACTGTTGTACTCCTCAAAAAACGAGAATTCTTCTGTGAACAGGCAGTACTATCGATGGATACTAGCAGCCCATCGCCATTGGATCACGCGAGCAGTAGACAAAAATAATACAAAATCAACCCGATGGTCGGCCTGGGATCACACGCAAGCACGCACGCAACACGACGTGTTGGAGGTGAAGCCTGCGTCTCTTTCTCAATCTCACCTGCTCCAAACCCCGAGAGCTGCACAGCTCGGTTCTTGTATGCTTTGATTTCCCGGTTGTAATCTGTTTATATATATATATATATATATATATATATAATCTCACTCTCATGCCACCCACTACTATAAAAACTGCTCCGTGTCATCGCGCTTGTGTTGTGTGCGATGCGAGTACTACTAGTGAACGAACACCGCCGCACCTCGCTCGCCCGGCCGGGTTGCGAGGGACACTCCCACTCCCAGCCGATCGATGCAGCTGTCTTCCAGGGCGAGGTGAGAGTGAGACCATGCATCCCGCGGACACAGAGCATTCCGATCCTACTCTGAATTCTTGACGAGTTCTGTTCTCGCGCGCCGTGCAGATCCAGGTCCTGGGGAGCCGGGCTGTGGACCACTACTCCTCCGCCTCTGCTGTCTCCCAGGCAGATGAAGCCTCGGCACGAGCGCAGCAGGTCCACCACCACCACCTCCACGTACGCGCCACTCGTCTCCCAGGTGAGGTGCCTAGTTATTGGACATGCACGGTAGTAGCTGTAGTAAACGTGTCAACGTGACGGACTCATCGATCGCAGCAGCAAGGCCAGGCCGGTGGCGACGGTGACGGCAGCGTGACGGAGCAGGAGGTGGCGGCGGGCGTGGCGCAGCCGGAGGAGGGCGTCGGGCCGACGACGACCACGGAGATGGAGGAGTCGCCGCGGGTGAGCGACGGCGGCGCCGCGGATAAGGAGCGTGTGATGCGGCTCCTGGAGCGGGAGGCGGCGTCGGCCAAGCAGCGGGAGATGATGAAGATGCTGGAGTCGCTGGTCCAGCAGACCAAGGAGCTGGAGCAGGCCAAGATCGCGCTCGAGGAGGCCAGGCTCGAGGTCGCCGCGCTACGGCATCAACAACAGCAGGGCGAGGCCGCCGCCACCGGGCCGGCCGCGCAGGCGCAGACACAGACACAGCAGCAGTGGAGCGTCATGGACCTCATGTTCGGCGGCGTGGACGAGGAGATCAACGGTCTTCGTGCCAGGCTCCGCGCGTCGGCGCAGGCCGAGGAGCGGAGCCGGAAGGCGGCGGACGAGCTCACCGCGGCGCTGTCCGCGGTCAGCATGGAGGCGAAGCAGGTCAAAGCGTGGCTATGTGACGCGCGGGACGAGCTGGAGGCGGCCCACGCCGAGCGCGACCGGCTCCGGGGCCTCCTCCAGGGCGCCGAGGCGGAGCTGTGGTCGGCGACCGAGCGCGTCGACGCGCTCACCGCCGACTGGAAGGACGCCGCGGCCGGGTGGCGCGCCAGGGAGAAGGCGCTGCTGGCGCGCGCGCGTGGCGCGGAGGAGGAGGCCGCCGCCGCGCGGGCGGAGAGCGCCGCCGAGATCGACACGGCGCGCCGGGTGCTCGCCGACGACAACGCCGCGCTGCGCCGCGCGCTGGAGCAAGTGGTCGAGGAGGTTAACGCGGCCGCCGAGGCGCTCGAGGCCGCGACCGGCGACAACGTCGGACTGTAGGAGGCCGTCGCGGAGAAAGAGCGTGCCCTGGAGGCTCTGCGGCGGGAGAACGAGGGACTCAGGGCCAGCGAGACCGCGGCCAGGGAGCGCGCCGAGGAGCTCCAGGGCCAGCTTGCGGCGGCAAGGAAAGAGCGGGAGATCCCGCTGGTGGAGAAGTGGAAGCGGGAAGACGCGCAGGGCAAGCTGGGCGCCGGAATGTTCCTGGACTCTGGGAGGCTGGTCCCGGGCGGCCGGAAGGACCGGATGTTCGCGTCGCTGAGCAACCTCGCGGAGCTAAAGTCGGCGGCGGCGGCCGCGGCGGCCATGGACGACTACGGCTACGAGTTCGACCACCTGGACGTGGCTGGCCAGTACGGCGACGACGCCACGGAGCACGGCATGAAGCGCAAGATGAAGCAGAGGCGGTCGATCCTGCGCAAGTTCGGGGATCTCTTCAGGAGGAGGAGCCTCTACAAGCCCAACCTCGCGCCGGTGCTGCATAACCACTACTAGAAGTCTGCGTAGAAGAACCTAGACAGGCCAGGGCCATAGATGCTCGATCGCGAGGTCGACGATGCTTGCTTGCTTGCAGAATAAGAGAGAAATTAAAAGTAGGCATATATTACACCGGTGCAGATTGATGTAGCAGGCATTGGAAGGAGATTACGTTGTTCATATGCTCCGGACGGATGGATCAGTATTTTGGTGATGATTTTAGTTATGCGTGTCGATTACTCGAACTTGTTTCTTCTTTTCGGTTATATAAAAGGAGGGTGATCAGTGCATGCACTTGAGTAGTGCCACGCGCTGGAACAGCGTTGAGCAGCAGTTACACGGATACGATCTGTACGGATCACTACCCACAATGATCAGCAGTTAGAGGTCGGGTAAGCCGTCAGATCTGGTGTTGTTTCTAGCTGTAAGCTGTTACTACAAGCCGGCCGTGCCCGTGCAGATCGCCAAATCGGCGTGTGCCACTGTTTCAGCTACTGCTGGCTGCTGTGACAATAGTTGGGCTTGTGTCCATTTTATTGCTCCGAGGGCCTTACATTGGTTGGCTGACTTCAATCCATTTATGCTTTTTTTTTTGAGAAACTTCAATCCATTTATGCTGATGGGCTCCTGCTCCATGCGGGCTGTTCTCAAGTTCAAGATTGTGCTTAGTTGAGCATTTGAAAAGTGTTTCTGCTGCGTAAAAAAAAAACCAAACAGCTGCAACCTGGAGCTGCTTTTTTTTAGAAGTAGCTGCTTTCATATAGTACTAGAAATCATGCGCGGCGTTGCCGCGCCTTGCCTGTCTGGCCAGCCTGCGACACTGTTGTGTGAGTCCATTTGGAGACTATCTGTTGTCTTCGCCAGGTAGAAATAGAACGGATTTCATACGTACTAACGTGTACGTGTACAACCTGATTAAGGAGATCATTCTCAAGAAAGCATGATGTGCCTAACTGCCTATATAAACTTGAATGAAGAGAGAAAAAAGAAGTTCAAAATATACGATAAGCTTAGATAGTGTAGCGATTCAGAAAAAAACAAGTTAAGAACTCAGTGATAACCAAAGCAGACGTGTCAACATCTCATGAATCTGATTTTGTATATGTTGCAGCATATACACGATAGACACCACGGGGACATACACAAAGAAGTTGCTAGAACTCCTATTATGACTGCAGCATGCAATGGCTACAGAATTCTTCTCTTCCAATTCTGTCTTTTGCTTCGATGTTCTAGTCCGTTGAATAGTCGCTGCAAGATTGTGTAAAACGGGAAAAATCAGAACGTGCTCTTTTGGGTATGTATCCCTATATTAAGTTTCGTTACCATGGAGATTGGAGAATAGGATAAGCATGATACAGGGAACTGCAGCCAGAAATACTATTTTTATTTTTACTTATTTTTTTTTTCAAATTGTTAGTTTAGCATATTGGAAGGTTTCAAATAAATATGAAATGAGTTCCAATTGGTTAAACTTTGGTAGGTCTTGGTGCACATTTTTTTTTCTTATATAGAGATAACAAATTTAAGCAAGCTTCTCTTACTGTTGCTCTATTTGTACTGCTGAGAAGGAAATAGGTTATTACCTTGAGATATGTGATAAAGGACCTTAACCTGGCCTCGTTGTTGGAATTCACCGGCAAAGAGGGTGCTTTTGCGGGACAGGCTTTGAGCGAGGGGAGCATGGTGGGGTTGTCCAGCAAGAGCACTTTTTTGCCGCTTCAAAATCCATATGAATTAGTATAAGCAAAAAAAAAAAGAAAGAATAGATATATCAGTCTTGTTGTGAAATGCAAGATGTAGGGAAGTTCATTGCAAGGTAACTTTATACCCCTTTTTATGTAATTTCTTGATGATGGAAGGCTTGGAGTTGAAGCTAACAACACTGATTGAAGACGCATTTTGTTTGTCAGTAGGAAAACTTATGCTTTCTTTCAACAAGGCATATATAAGAATAAGATCCCAATTACATATCTGCATACCTCGACACAGAGTGTTAATGGCTGAAGAAAGCATGGTCTTTAGATTCATAGTTTACTTTCTCTGTACAAGCAGAAGTTTATTGTTTAAACAAATCATTCAGAGTTCATGTTCTCTGGGTAGTAGCCTAACCGGAAATAATGTAATGATCTCAAATTAATGCCATAAATAGTAGTAGAAAAAAACATATAGTGGCTTGATTACAGAACAGTGATTTATCGGAGCAAAATTTGAAAATTGTATCATATACTTTTTGGTTTGCAGTAAGAGATGCAGAGGTCGTTGAGTATATTTAATAAGCTGAACAAAAATGTGTACATTGAAAAGATGGACAAAGGGCAAAACTGCATTAGCAATACCCTGGAAGACTGGAACCAACACTTCCACTCCTATTTTTTTCAGTGGAGATTATTGCTCACTGCACATGGTCTGACAGCTTAAAGATTGCCTCGGTTTATACCTAGCAGAGACAAAGAAATATTCTTATTGCTATTTCTTCCATAGAACTGCTTGCACTTGACCTGCTTATTTTGCAATTGAGATGAAATTTAGGTTACTTGCACACTCTTTGGTTCAAATGGTCTTTATGCATATTGATTTGGAACACTCAAAATCCAATCTTCCATAGATGTTGATGCCATGGTAAGTTGAAGGTAGTAAGCAAAAACATTTGAAAAATTGATTATTACAATGTGGTACAGGATAATCTTTTCTACAGGCATTTTAGCAAACACATGATGTGCATAGTAAGAGAGTAACGAAAGAGCTGTGAAGCACGCAGAGATGAGAGGGGTAGGTTTCATACTTATTTCAACCAAATATATTATAGCTTTTCTACAGCACATAGTTCGCAATTACACAGCTCACAACTCACAGACCCTAACAAGAAGAACACGGGCACTAAATAGAGAGCTGTTTTACGTCTGTTTTAAACGAAGATAAAGAGAGGTATGTTTTATACTTATCAACCAAACATAGTACAGCTTTTCCGCAGCACATAGTTCGCAATAATTTTTTCACGGCTCGTAACTCAACGCACGGCTCACAGATCAATCAAACAGACCCTAACAAGAACAAGAACATAAGCACAACGAATTCAATGATTGTGCGTCATGAGAGGAGCAAGCACCTCGTTAGCTAACTTCTCCAGATTTACCCAAGAGGAGCCACCTGGTCGTGCCGCGCGAGCGGCCTTCTCCTTCCACTCCGCCGCCGACCTCCTGAGCTCCTCCCCTCGCTCCCCTCCCATCACCTGGCGTATCGCCGTCTCCACCTCCTCCCGACTGGGGTCCTCGCCGAGCTCCACGCCGACGCGCCACTCCGTGCATGCGAGCCTGCTGTTAGGCTGCTGGTCGCCCACGAACGGCCAGCACAGCATGGGCACCCCGGCACAGACGCTCTCCAGCATCGAGTTCCACCCGCAGTGCGTCAGGAACGCGCCGACCGCCTCGTGCCGGAGCACCGCCTCCTGCGGGCACCAGCTCGTCACGCAGCCTGTCCCCTCCGTCTCCGCCAAGAACTCCGGCGGCAGCGGCTCCGCCGTTGACGAACAGCTGCTGCTGGTCGCTCCTGATCACCCACAGGAACTCGTAGCCGCTGTTGGCCAGCCCCCACGCGAGCTCTACCAACTGTTGGTGGGTCAGCTTCACCAGGCTCCCGAAGCTCGCGAACACCACCCAGTTGGGCCGCTTATCATCAAGCCAGTCTAGGCAAGCGCGGTTCTCCTTGGAAGGCTGCTGGTGCCGGAGCCCGCCGACGCGTCGATGGCCGCCGGATCACCGCCGCCGGCGCCGGAGAGGAGCAGCGGTAGCGGCCCGATGGCGTAGACAGGCGGCATGATGGCCGACAAGGCGCTCATGACGTGGCTCTCCATCTCCTCCAAGGTGTGGAATATGACGGCGGATGGGACGGTGCGGTGGCACTCCATTGTGCGCAGGGTGATGGCGAGCCCCGCGTCGTCCGCGTCCGTGGTGCGGATGAAGCTCGGGAAGTCCCTCAGGCGCATGGACGCGGGCAACCCCGGCACCCAGTCGATGACCGTGCTGTCCAGGTATCCATTCCTCAGCTGCTCAGCATCTGCGTGCGTACAGCAACTGTTAGTTTTGTGACTTTGTCCAAGCAATGAAGCAAGTACTACTAGCCAGGTTATTCACCTTTGAGAGGAACAAGGCCCTTGGCGACGAGCTGCTGGCACTGCTGGAAAGCCATGAAGGAGCTGGCGCTCGTGGTCCAGAAGTTGACGCAGGGCAGGCCGATGTCCGCGGCCGCACGCAGGATGTGGTCGACGTCAGAGATGAGGCAGCAGCAGCTCGCCGCGGGGCTGGGGAGGAGCTGAGACAGCACGAGCTTCTTGAAGTGCGGGACCACCGCCGCCGAGAGGGAGAAGTGCAGGGCGGGCATGTCCTGCGCCGCGTCCACGTCTGACGCGGGCAGGCCGTCAGGGACGGCGGCGAAGCGGAACCCGGGGGATCCCGCCAGCGCGTCCGGCCCGCGCGCGCGGAGGAGGCGCCGGCGGTTGTGCTCGGTGTGGACGAAGGTGACGTCGAAGCCGTGGCACTGGTGGAGGAGCGTGGCGAGCTGGAATGCCGGGGTCACGTGGCCCTGAGCTGGGAACGGGAAGAACACAAGGTGAGGCTTCGCCGGCGTCGCCATGGCCATGCCCGCTCGCGCGCGCGCCTGGAGCAAAATCGCACCGGAGTTGGAATGGAGCAATACGACTGATAGAGTGGCAGTCCATCTAGACAAGAAAGTAGCCGAGTACTGTACTCCTGTGCGGCTGGAACTGAATGATGAAGAAATGTCATGCTTGTCTTTAATCAGTGGGCATCATGTCACCGCCAGGAGCTGGTCAGCGATTCCTGTCACTGCCAGCGATTCCTGTCTAACGGTAACGGGTTGACATTTTTGTCACAGTTCCGTCCTACCGACAGGCGACAGATGTGTTCCAAACGTTCAATAATGTTTACCTACCCTCTGCTCCAGTTTGCCTATGCCATACATTGATACACTTGTGTAAGCTATTATGTTTAAACCACCAGTCATAAACTTAACAATACATAAGGTGCCATTGTATGAACCAAACACTAGCTAATTGCATACAATTGTCTTGTATAAGCTATTATGTATAGCTTTATGCAAGCAACCAGTCAAACCTATGTTCATGACCTTGTTTGAATGTTGTAAAACACGAAGAAACTGCAGTTTTAAAACCTAGACATGCAAAACCATGGTTCAGAAAAAAGAGACATGAAGTTCATAGAACTCAAGAGAAGACTACAATTTTGGCAGTACCATGAATTTCAAAACCATAAAGTTTGTTGCATCAAAACACTTCATGGCACTCTAAAACCAAATTATTCAACAAAACCATAGTATTTTTCTAAAACTCCCAGATACTTTGCATCAAACAGGGCCTTGGCAGCGCACCGTTTTCTCCGCTGGCAGAACGGTAACTCCATGACCACACAACGAAGGAGAATGCTTAATAGCATAACTCATTTCTCTGCTGTATTACCATTAATGGGTAACAGATTGATCACAAATTCACAGGATAGCATGAAAACGACCGAGAATGGCAAGGGAGAGGCCCAGTGAACAGCAATTGAACAACATACACACCATACCATACAAGTTACTGGTTAGAACGAACGCACAAACACAACGGTAAAGAGAAATCCTACAAATTAAGACTCCCGAAGCACCTCTGTTCTTTACTATCACCTTTCTTCAATCTTCATTGATCCTCCTGGTCACTTGATGTAAGCTGATGTCTCTTGTCAAACCATCTACAGGAGAATGGGTTTCATAGTCAGAATATATATAAAACATGATTGTGTTTAATTATCCACAAAATGAATTTAGTACATTCATATGCTAAACAAACACAGGATTTTAACTCATATTCTTATCCATTGTAAATCGAACACACAATCTCCTGAGACATGAATGAATCCTTTACATTTCCATGAGGGAAAACAATCCTCATTTAGGCCTTAGTTGTAGTTACGCCTTTTTTCGTTTGTACACTTTGGCACTTTTCTCTCCTCTATAAATATATTTGCCTGGCATAAGTCCAGCCAGCTATTTTCGAAAAAGAAGAGGGAAAACAAAGATTTACATGAATAACTTTCCTCACAAGCGAATTACTCACGTGTGAATTGTAAAAGAGTAAAACTGTAAGCATGTAATCCATTGTCGAGACACAATGGAGGATACAGGGTGAAAACGTTCACACTAACATGCATTATGATGACAACACATCTAGAGGAAAGGAACAAATTATATAATGATAAAACTCTTAGCTTCCTTGTGAGAGAAACTGTCAAAATACTAGCATAACCTTCATTGCAGGAGAGCAAAAACAAGCCAATACATATTCAATATTTGGTATTGCTGAACAAGAAAACAAACATTGTCCAAAAAACTAGAAAACCCCTAAGACAACTGAAGTTAATTCAAAAAAGATCTCCAACAATGCGGGAGAACGAAAACCAAACCAGTAGATGTTCAATACTTAGGTGGTGTTTAGATGCGAAATGGGTTGAAAACTTTCTGCGAAATGTTTTCAAGGTGAAAACCCAATTCTGCAAAAAAATTTCAGACCTTGTTTAGATGTACCTGAAAACTTTTGAGCTGTAACACAAGATGACAGATTTTCCCATAATAAATGATGCTTTTGGACCATTAATACCAGCCATGCACATGCATGCTATGCATGCTGCTCGGCACATTTGCATGCACAGAATCACTCATACACAGAAACCATATAACTCATGTACAAATGTTCAATGTCACAAGTCCATTACAACTGAAGGCACCAATCACTCATAAGCATTACAACATATAACAAACCAATCACTCATACACAGAAACCACATCACTCATGTACGAATTTTATGTCCTATTCATCAAAGCAAGCGCAATTGAGTCACGGAAAGCATTCATCAACGCAGATTCATCCCTTGACGACGAGGCCTGAGTTTGTGGCTGCGATGCCAGAGCTTCGGGTGGCACATAATTCTCATCACAATCACAACGATCAAAATCCTTGTCCACTATGCCACTGCTCCTAATAAAATTATGCAGTGCCATGCAAGCTACTATTATTTGGCTTTGCACATGAGGTGGATATCTCGGCATACTCAACAAAATCCTCCACTTCATCTTCAAAACCCCAAAAGACCTCTCGATGACATTTCTAAGAGACAAATGTGCAAAGTTGAAGATTTCTTTTTTACCTTGAGGTTCCTGGGCATGACGATACTCCGGCAGATGATACATGGTTCCCTTGTAAGGTGCAAGGTATCCTGGCCGGTTTGGATAGCCGGAGTTGAGGCCCGCGCGGCCGGCCATGCCGCCTCCTCCGCCGCCGGATCGAGCCGTCCGAACGCCAAGGGTACGCTCGGAGGCACGGACGCGCACGGGAGAGGGGGAGAAGCCGCCCTCGCCATCTGCTTCGTCCTGGCCGTAGCGTAGGAGGTTCTCGTACCTCCCCATTTCGGGCCAAGCCTCGCCGTTGGAGTTGAGATCGAGGGAGGAGAGGCCGGCCCGTTGAGCGCTGATGGAGCTTGAGCTAGGGAACTGCGCCGGCGGGTCGGAGTAGAGGTTGAAAGCTGACGAGTGCTCCGGTTGGGAGAAGAAATCGCGGGTGCCGTCGTCGTTTCCGTACTCGCCGCCGTTGCGTTCGAATCCGTCCATGAGCGCTCGGACGCGGCTTGAAAGCCCGATCTACGCGCGGAGAGGGCACGGCCGGCCGCGGTGAAGGAAGTGTGGGGAAGAAGGTGAAGGCTGGCGATGGAGGAGGTGGGGGAGAGACTGAGAGGAGCGGCCGCGAGGGAGATCAGCGCGGCGGCGGTGGAGGAGAGTGGCGGAGATGGAGATGGGGAAAGGAAGAAGGAGAGTGGCGGCCGAGCGAATGGATAGGGTAGGGAGGGGCGGGCAGGCGAGAAGTCTGGTAGCGCCCAGCCGCTGCTGGACCGAGGCGAAAATTTTTGGATTCGGGAGTCTGGAGTCCAAAATGTGAAATTTTTTGGAGGGGAACTTTTTGCACTTTTCACACCCATGTTTAGTTACATTTTGCAAAAAGATGACCCAGAATCCAAAATTATTTTGCAAAATAGAGGAACTAAACATGGCCTTAGCATTGCTAGTTGAGAAAACTACCTCATCCAAAAAGGGGAAACTAGGTGACAACAGAAATTAAATGAAAGGAGATCCCGAGTAAGTCAGCAGAAAGATTCCATGATAAAACCTATTAGATATGACTTTATGGAACTCATAAATGCACCCCATTGAACTCAAGCTACATGTTATTCACAGTTTCACACCAATCAGAGTTCTTGGCAAAAGTTAAACAACATGAAGTGTCATCTCTAAATAAACGCCCTAAACTGATTAGTCATTTACATTCCATTGAAACAGGGATAACAAAATAATCACCTAACCATGAACAGATCAAATGTGATCCCAGGACTTGTCAAAAAATAGGGGAAGATGATGAAGGGACTGAAACAACGATCCAACTCATACTGCATTTAAAGGGGCAAAAAAATTCATTGTGGTATAAGAAAAAGGGACCCATAATCATAAAAGACCATACTGACATAACCTAATACATGACCTCTTCAGAAGCACCGCATACATAATGATTCTGTCCACATGAGAAAGTTGGATATTGTACGAATCTGGGCATGCAATAATGGATTAACGGGCCGAGTAAAAATCTAGTTAAAAGTAAAACTGTAATCACATAATGCATCGTTGAGCCACAATGAGAATGCAAGGTCCACAATAAGTTATGCTAACAAGCATTATGATGATAACACATCTAGAGGAAAAGAACAAAGATGGTAACAACAAAAACACTAGCTTTCTTGTGAAGAAAGCAACAGGATGTACATAGATGCTCCTCTTGGTAACATTGCGGAAAAGCGAAAACAAGCCAACAGATGTTCAATACTTGGCATTGCTGGGTGAGAAAACCACATTTACACAAAAAAGGGAAAAACTAGACAGCAACTGAAGTCAACCCAAAGATCTCCAGTCGTCAGCAGAAAGATTCATGATAAAACCTACTAAATATTACTTTATGAAACTCACTTACAAGTGCAGCCACCATTGAATTCAAGCTACATGTTGTTCGTGCTAGTCAGAGTTCTTGGCAAAAGTTTAACAAAAAAGTTTCATCTCTTGATAATAGTCCTAGACTCACTAGTCTTTTACATTCTTTCACAATACGGACAAATTATAATATTTATCACCTGAACCATGAACAAAGCATATGTGGTCCAAAATAAGATGATGAAGAAGGGACTGAAACAACCATCTTATTCATATCACATTTAAAGGGACAAAAGATGTCCATTACCGGTCAAAAAGGAATTTATAGTTGTAAAATACCATGTTAAGGTGCCACTTACCTAGCCTAACCTAATACAAGAGCCTCTTCAGAAATGCTACACGCATAATCATCCTGTCCACAAAGTTATGGATCAGGGCATACAATAAACGCCGGAGTTAAAAATAGGTGAAAAGGAACCAGAGGAGTGCACCAACTAAAGAAAGATAATTTTCCCTCGTAGTTAAATTGCCCAGTTTGATTCCTTACCTAGTGTTGTGAAATATAAGGCTCACATATTCATCCAAACAAAGATTTATATGAATAACTTTCCTTGCAAGCGAATTACTCTCGCATGCATTGTAAAAGAGAAACTGTAAGTATGGAATCCATTGTCAAGACAATGAAGGCATACAGGGTGAAAACACTGATACTAACATCCATTATGATGACAACACATCTAGAGAAAAGTAACAAATTATATAATGACGAAACTCTAGCTTCCTTGTGAGAGAAACCGACAAAATACTAGCATAGGTGCTCCGGGTGGTAACATTCATTGCAGAAGAGCAAAAACAAGCCAATAGATGTTCAGTATTTGGTACTACCTCCGTCCCAAAATATGACAAAATACTAGCATAGGTGCTCCACGTGGTAACATTCATTGCAGAAGAGCAAAAACAGCCAATAGATGTTCAATATTTGGCACTACCCCGTCCCAAAATAAATCAATTCCTAGAATCACCCTAAGTCCCAAAGTCAATCTATCTTAAGAATTGACCAACTTTATAGAAAAGCGTATGATACCAAATAAGTTAGTCAAAGTTAAAATAGTTTGACTTAGATAACTCTAGAAGTTGATTTAATTTGGGACGGAGGGAGTATTGCTGAGTGAGAAAACTTTGGCCGAGAAAAACAGAAAACCCCTGAGACAACTGTAGTGAATTCAGAAAAGATCTCCAACAATGCGGATGATGAAAACCAAACTAGTAGATGCTCAATACTTAGCATTGTTGGGTGAGAAAACTACATTGTCCAAAAAGGAAAAAACTAGGCGACAACTGAAATTAAATGAAAGGAGATCCCGAGTAAGTCAGCAGAAAGATTCCAGAAAAAAACTATTAAATATGACTTCATGAAACTCATAAATGCACCCCATTGAACTCAAGCTACATGTTATTCACACTGGTCAGAGTTCTTGGCAAAAGTTCAACAACATGAAGTTTCATCTCTAAGTAAACACCCTAAACTCATTAGTCATTTACATTCCATCGAAACAGGGATAACAAAATTATCACCAAAACCATAAACAAATAAAATGTGGTCCTAGGGCTTGTCCAAAAAAGGGGAAAGAATATAATGAGGGACTGAAACAATGATCTAACTCATACTCCATTTAAAAGGGACAAAAAAGTTCATTGTGGTATAAGAAAAAGGGACCCATAATCATAAAAGACCATACTGCCCTAACCTAATACATGAGCCTCTTCAGAAGCACTACATTCATAATGATTCTGTCCACATGAGAAAGTTGGATATTGTATGAATCAGGGTATACAATAACAGCAGAGTAAAGATCTGGTGAAAAGTAAAACTGTAATCACGTAATGCATCATTGAGCCACAATGAGAAATGCAAGGTGTAGAATAAGTTATGGAACAAGCATTATGATGATAACACATCTAGAGCAAATGAACAAAAGATGGTAGTGACAAAAACGCTAGCTTCCTTGTGAAGAAAGTGACGGAAAGCACATAGATGCTCCCGGTGGTAATGTTGTGGAAGAGCAAAAACAAGCCAACAGATGTTCGATACTTGGCATTGCTGGGTGAGAAAACCACCTTTGCCCAAAAAGGGAAAAACTAGATGTCCACTGAAGTCAACCCAAAGAAGATCTCCAGTCGTCATCAGAAAGATTCATGACAAAACCTACTAAATATTACTTAATGAAACTCACTTATAAGTGCACCCTTCATTGAATTCAAGCTACATGTTGTTCGCGCTAGTTCAAGGCAAAAGTTTAACAAAAAGTTTCATCTCTTCATAGTAGCTCTAGACTCAATAGTCGTTTACATTCCATCACAATAAGGAAAGCAAATTATACTATTTATCACCTGAACCATGAACAAAGCATATGTGGTCCAAGAACTAGAACAAAAAAGGATGATAAAGAAGGGACTGAAACAACCATCTTATTCATATCACATTTAAAGGGCCAAAAGATATCCATTACAGTGAAAAGGGAATTTATAGTTGTAAAAATACCATGTTAAGGTACCACTTGCCTGGCCTAACCTAATACAAGAGCCTCTTCAGAAATGCTACACACATAATCATCCTGTCCACATAGTTATGAATCAGGGTATATACAATAAAGGCCGGAGTTAAAAACAGGTGGAAAGGAACCAGAGGAGTCCACCAACTAAAGAAAGACAATTTTCCCTCATAGTTAAATTGCCCAGTTTGATTCCTTACCTAGTGTTGTGAAATATGAGGCTCACATATTCATCCTAACTAAGAAACTAACTTGAGAGAATTTCCATAAAAGAGTGTAAGATAACCAAACTTATCTGAATCTTACACATTTGAGGATGACTTACTAGACAATCAAATTGACAAATTCATAACATCACAATTCACAACTAGGTTGGCTGGTTTGCCGAATGGCGCTGCAAGGCCCAGTTGCAATCTAGCAGAGAGAATCAAGTCTCTCTGTAGTCATAGTATCATAGCATAATATATTTATATGCATCATATCTCGGAATTTTGATATGCAATCTATGAATCAATCATTATCAGGATCAATCAAACTCAAAGCTGGATGCCTTTATTTTAAATTTTTGCAAGAAATACTATGACCAAAATATTCCTAGTTTGCAATTGCCAGTAGTCACGCATATCCTATGTTATCATCGTTTCAGAGCTTGTTGCACCAAATTTTCACATACAAAAAATCAAAGTGATAACAACGGCGGGAAGGCTGCCTTACCCAATTAGCCCTTCACAACATTGCTATTGTCCGGCTGCTGCTGGTCCAGGCCAATTGGAGCCACCAGCACCACCTCTGAGCTCCTCCATCCACTCCTTGAAGAACTCTGGATCATAACCACCCTCCTCATCCTCCTCCCGGTCAGGATTGCCTTCTTCAAATCCCCCTTCCTCCATAGCATCAATGGTGGACTCTGTAGGTCCTGTCACCACACCCTTGTTTGGCTTAGGGATTGCTGGCGTGTGGCCCTCAAAGAGCGCGAGATGACCGAAGAGCTTGTCCTTGCGGGAGAAGGTGGTGCCGCAGGAGCAGCGCCACTGTGCCTCCTCCCCACAGTGGCGGAGGTGGCTGCGAAGGTCGGCCAGGACAGCAAAGCGCTTCTTGCCGCCACAGCGCTCGCAGGCGTAGAGCTTGGGGCAGTGGCTGCGGCGGAAGTGGTTCCGCGCGCACACCACCGACTTGAGCGGGCGGAAGCGGCGGTGCGCGTGGTTCCTGTTGCAGCCCGCGAAGGGGCAGGAGAAGCGCACGTTGCCGCCAGCGGGCGGCTTGGGCGGCTGGCCCTGGCCGTGGGCAGGGCGGGAGAGCGCGTCGAGGGTCTTGAAGCGGTCGCCGTGGGCGCGCATGTGCATCCTGAGGTTGGCGTCGCGGCGGAAGCCCTTGCCGCAGATCTCGCAGAAGTGGACGTGCTCCGCTAGCAGCTCGGCGGCGTCGAGCTCCACGACCTCGTAGCGGCCGCCGCCGTCGCCCTTGGCGGCCTCCAGGGGTTGTTGCTCTGGGGCGGAGGCGGCCACAGCGGGGATCTCTCGGACGGGAGCGGGAGCGGGAGAAGGAGCGGCGGAGGGAGGAGGTGGGGCGGGGAAGGGGACGGAGCAAGCGAGGAGCTCGGCGGCGTTGAGGACGACGAGTTGGGCGGCGGCGGAGATCTCGGAGGAGACGGATTGGATGTCGGCGTAGGAGAGGGGCCGGGCCTCGCCCGAGATGGAGGCGGAGATACGGCCCCGGACGGCGGCCATGCGGTCCCCGAGGGCAGCCAGACGGAGGAGGGCGGCCCGGGGGTCCCCGTCCGTTGCTCCTCCACCTCCTCCGCCGACGACGCCCATGATGGCGTCAGCGAGTTCGCCGCCGCCCGGCATGGTCAGCAAAGGCGGGGCCGTGGCAGCAGCCCTTGACGCGATGGTGCTGCTGCTGCGACCTGGTTGCTACCGGTGAGTGGTATCCAAGTTGGATTGGCACGACACGATAGCGGTTGGTGCGTGGGATACTGGGACGGGGCCACGGGGGAGTGCTGAAGCGAGGCAGTCGTAATCAAAGTCAACTAGCCGCATTCTCTGTACCACACAGACCCGCACAACTGGACCCGCATCTCAGTGGAAGAGTTCTTGCAAGTCGGCGGTGCGTCTCTTGGAAGGTTTTCCTGCTGGGCCGCGTGCCGTGTGCGGTCAGTCAGGTGGAGTGAACAAAGCACCGGAGACGCCGAGAGGGAAGAAAAGGTTTCAACGATCTCAGCTAATCTACGGAATGCAAGGTCCCGTGCATCGGTGCATGCTGATTAGGAGGCATGAACGCCTTCAAAGTGTTTTTAGCGTAACCGGCACCATAGAATGCCAATTTCCATTGCATCCTGTAGAAGGAGAAAACAGATAAGGGCCCTCTGGGAGTGCTGGGCAATAAGCTTTTGTGTCAACACTACTACTGCTGGCTGAGGAAGACAAGGAGAGCACAGGAGGGGAACATAGGCCACGACGCAGCACACGTGAGCGGCGGCCCAACACTCGAGTCCAAGGCCCAGAGTGGCAAGACCCACCCACCAGCAAGAGAGGTGGCGTGAGTGAGTATCTTATTAGCTGAGAGAGGGTATCAATCAAACAACAACAATTGTATCTACTATTCTAAGCACTCCTGTGATCTAAGAACTCCTCCGATCTATTCCCAATTCCCTTGCTCTGCTGTTCTTCTTCTCTTTCCCAATTGCTTGTGCTTACATCTGCTATCAGCAGCCAGCGCGTCTTCCGCACAATTTGTTTTGATTCCGTTGATTGAGTCGCAAACGCCTTCGGTTGTCAAGTTCGATTTGCGTCCAGCAGATCTTGAATTCCATAATTCCCAAGCACGCGCTCGATCCGGTTTCGAAGTCGCGATCTAGATCGCTCACCGCCGCCGCCGCCACCCAAACACCCGCACTACACACGCTTCGCTCGAAGCCGCGGCGCCATGAATCCCAATTCCAAGTTGATCCTCGACAAGATGCACCGCCTGTTCGCGGAGCAGAAGACAAGCTTCGACGTGCGCTTCACCGAGGCGGATCAGAAGCTCAATTCACGCTTCGGCGACAGCGACCGCGCACTGGAGAAGCGCTTCACCGAGGTGGAGGAATCCGTCACCAAACGCTTCACCGATCTCGACAACTCCCTCACCAAGCGACTCGCCGACTCGGATCTCAACTGGGAGCGGCGCATCACCGACTCCGAGGTGTGCCAAACAACTCTCATCACCGTGTCGGAGCAGCGCCAGGAGGCCTTCGTCTCCGCCGTCGCCAAGTCCACCGGTAACCTAGAAAGCTGGCGCCAAGAGTCTGAAGGCGCAGTGGATGACCTCAAGCTGAAGATGAGCAAGCTCACCAAGTACATGGATCGATCTGTCCTCGACAACCCATCAGCGTCGAGTGGACTGATCTCCTGGTCACCACCAGTCATGGAGCCAGCCGCCGCGCGCTCACCTGCCGGCATCACGGCTGCTCGGTGTGATTTGTTCGATTCTTTCGGTGTAAAAAAAACTTTATTGTTAGAAAACTGAGAGCCGATCGGTGCTTACAAATTTCCAAAACCGACATGTTCGGTGTTCGGTTCTTCAGCACGGTGTTTGATGTTCACCGAACACAACCGATTAGTACTGCAGCACAATGATACATGATCTTCACATCCATGGTGCTAGAGCCTGCGTGCGCCCATGCACCTGCAGCCTCGCACTACTCAAAGCTTGATGTCATCGCGCCCTCGGAGCCAAATGTGTCGTGCCCTCGTCGCCTGAGGCACCACATCGCTGCGCCATTTCACCCTCCGCCGCCGCAACTGACGTGGTCACACTAGGGCAAGGGGTCCTGGATAGGAGACGAGAGTCGTGATGAGTCAGGGAGTGTGATGCTGCTGTGGGAATGTTGGGGTCGGGGGATGGGGGTAAGTTTTTTTAGAATCTCAAACTTTATTAACTAGTCTGAGAATAAGATGTACACACGCCCTCCGGCGGACTGATAAACCAGACATGCCTACCTACTACCTCATACAGGGAGCCTCACACTAGCCGATGAGCATCTCCATTAGACATCCGACCTTCATGGACAAGCTCTTCAATGCCTCTAAACGGTGCACACGCTCATACGCCAGACTCTATGGTCGAGGATGGTATTTTCTTTATTAAATTTATCCTTTTTTGTTTTTTTGTATGCCATTATGTTTCTCTCATCATATTTGTGGCCGTGTTACACATACTATGATGAGGATGTTATATTTGAGGAGGACGAGGAAGAGGATGAGGCGCACTTTTTCGCCGGACAAGGTACATCATGTAATAGTCAAAACATTCTTTCACAAACTTTCTTTCAACGCGTAACACATCAATATTTTGTCAGAAGACGACGAGGAGGGAACCGACGTCGAGCACAATCTCGACATCGATGAGGAAGAGAACAGTGAGCCTGATGTCCCGGATCCATATGACATGGTTTACGCTAATGTCCCATCAGAGTCGCACATGCTACCGTCGGTGCCGAACTACGAGCACTGCAACGCAAAGAAATTCGAGGGTGAACCGCCCGGATTTTGTTGTCGGGGTGGAAAGATTCATCTTTCAACTCCTGAGACACCACCAGAGCTCATAAGGTTGTGGTCAAGCTCGGACGCTAATGCTAGATGAAAGGTCCTAATGGCTAGAGGGGGGTGAATAACATAATAAAAATTTCTACAACAACACTTAGCAAACCGGTTAGACAATTATGAAGCGAAGCAAGTGTTGCGCTAGCCTACCAAAAATACAAGCCACCTACCACAATTCTAGTTAATATAGTTTCTATCCACATAATAGCTATGTCACTACACTAAGTTAGTGTGCTCTCAAAGGCTTACTAAAGAGCCACACTAACCAAACTAACAAGCTCTCACAACTAGCTACACTAAAGAGCTTGACAACTAGTTTGCGGTAATGTGAAGAGAGTGAGCAATTTGTTTATACCGCCGTGTCGAGGAAGGAGCCAATCAATCACAAGAATGAATACCAATGAAGATCAATCACCTTGGAATCAAATGATAAACATAATGATTTTTTACCGAGGTTCACTTGCTTGCCGGCAAGCTACTCCTCGTTGTGGCGATTCACTCACTTGGAGGTTCACGCGCTAATTGGCATCACACGCCAAACCCTCAATAGGGTGCCGCACAACCAACACAAGATGAGGATCACACAAGCCATAAGAAATCCACTAGAGTACCTTTTGGCTCTCCGCCGGGGAAAGGTCAAGAACCCCTCACAATGACCACGATCGGAGCCGGAGACAATCACCAACCTCCGCTCGACGATCCTCACTGCTCTAAGCCATCTAGGTGGCGGCAACCACCAAGAGTAACAAGTGAATCCCATAGCGAAACACGAACACCAAGTGCCTCTAGATGTAAACACTCAAGCAATGCACTTGGATTCTCTCCCAATCTCACAAAGATGATGAATCAATGATGGAGATGAGTGGGAGAGCTTTGGCTAAGCTCACAAGGTTGCTATGTCAATGCAAATGGTCAAGAGAGTGAGCTTGAGCTGGCCATGGGGCTTAAATAGAAGCCCCCACGAAATAGAGTCATTGTACCCCTTCACTGGGCACAACGTGGGGTGACCGGACGCTGGACCTCAGCGTCCGGTCACGCGATGCGTGCTATGTGTCCCTCTCTTCAAATGCTGTGCGCCCGATCTCAACGGTCAGAAGATGATCAGACGCAGCAACTAACAGTGACTGGACACTGAACCCCCAGCATCCGGTCGTTTCTAATAAGCTTCCAAAAATGATTTTTCCCGACCGAACGTGTCCGGTCATGCTTGATCGGACACAGCCAGTGTCCGCTCACATGGTGTCTTCCTCTGTGCTGCCACGTCAACATGACCGAACATAGCCTGCCAGTGTCCGGTCGCTGAGCGACCTAGCATCCGATCATTTGACCGACGCCAACGTCTTCGCTGTTACAACTGACCAGACGCGCTAGTCCCTCTGAGACCAGCGTCCAGTCACTTTGGACCAGTGAGACCAACTCCTCTTCACCTTTATCTTCTTTACCCTTGCTCAAATGTGCTAATCACCAAGTGTATCACCTTATGCACAAGTGTTAGCATATTTTCACAAACATTTTCAAGGGTGTTAGTACTCCACTAGATCCTAAATGCATATGCAATGAGTTAGAGCATCTAGTGGCACTTTGATAACCGTATTTCGATACGAGTTTCACGCCTTTTAATAGTACGGCTATCAAACATAAATGTGATCACACTCTCTAAGTGTCTTGATCACCAAAATAAAATAGCTCCTATAATTTATACATTTACCTTGAGCCTTTTGTTTTTCTCTTTCTTCTTTTTAAGTCCAAGCACTTGATCATCACCATGGCATCACCATCATCATGTTATGGTCTTCATTTGCTTCACCACTTGGAATGTGCTACCTATCTCATGATCACTTGATAAACTAGGTTAGCACTTAGGGTTTCATCAATTCACCAAAACCAATCTAGAGCTTTCAATCTCCCCCTTTTTGGTAATTGATGACAACCCTTACACAAAGATATAAATTGAAATTCAATTGAATACATGTTGCTTGCCCAAGCATTTTTACCATTTGTAAAAGGATATGGACAAGTTTCATGAACCCCAAATGGTAGCGATTGCTCCCCCTACATATGTGCTAAGAGTTTGGATAGTAGCTTGCACATATGCTTAGATAGGAAATATAGGAGACAATGTCTACCAAATGATGCTCAGGTATAAAAGATGGACCTTTGAAGCGTGATACCAATTGGAGTGCACCATTATACCATCCTTAGCACCATGGTTAGCTCGATACCACTTGGAAACACTTGGAAATGAAATTACTAGATAAACTTATGCATGCTAGATTTTCATTTCATCATTCAAACCTACAACTAGCATACACCACACAAGCATGGATATTGAAATTTAAAACTTGTGCTATGCAAGCAAACATATGAAATACACATTCAAATGCACCATACAAGTTCATGAGCTTGCTCCCCCTACTTGTGTGCTCAAAATTTTAATTGATTCCTTTCCTTTGTCATATCTCTCCCCCTATGTCAAATTCTCCCCCTTTGTTGTCTTTTCATCATCTTAGTACACTAATATATCTTTTGTCTTTCTTCCCATATACTAATATCTTTGTTATTTCTCCCCCTATCACTTATATCTTTGTTTTTCTCCCCCTTTGTCATCAATGACCATAAATACTTTAAATTATAGATAGGTTAGGATTATCAATGTCAATCAATGAGGTGAGGATCATTTTTCCAAATTTGGTCCAATCTAGATCATTTACCAAAGATATTTAACTCGGTTTGATCCAAGGACAAGCTTCTTCACACCTCTAAATAAGGGTTATCTTGTACCATGTTGAGTTAAATGCTTAGAGCTCATTTTCTAGATCAAACACTAGGTTTATAAGCCCATAAACATGTCATATGCTACCACTAGATCAACATAAGCATAGAAGCAATAGTGGTACCATACAATCATCAAATTTATTTGATTTTCATGAATGAGCCTATTAAATATGAAAGATGTCTGGATGCACTAAACAAGTCCTTAGCAAGGATGTATGCCATGCCAATCAACTTTTACCTTGGATTGCTCGAAGAAGAGGCATGTCATATAAGTGGGGGAGGGATGCATCAACACATATTTGAGAAATCCAATATGTTCAACTCATTCCTTAGCTTGCAAAACCTTTCCTCATCCAATGGCTTGGTGAATATATCGGCAAGTTGATCTTCGGTGCCTACACTCTTAATGCAAATGTCCCCTTTTTGTTGGTGATCTCTTATGAAATGGTGGTGGACATCAATGTGCTTTGTTCTTGCATGTTGAACCGGATTGTTGGTTAACTTGATTGCACTCTCATTGTCACATAGCAATGGCACTTTCTTGAACTTAATTCCAAAGTCACTCAAAGTGGCCTTCATCCAAAGTATTTGTGCACAACAACTACCGGTGGATATATATTCGGCTTCGACGGTTGATAATGCAACACTATTTTGTTTCTTTGATGACCATGAAACAAGTGATCTTTCCAACAATTGACATGTGCCCGAGGTGCTCTTTCTTTTAACCTTGCATCCCGCATAATCTAAGTCGGAGTAACCAACTAGCTCAAACTTTGCTATCACTCATGCCAAACTTCTTAATCATGTCCTTGATATACTTACCTTGACTCACAAATATACCATTCTTCAATTGCTTGATTTGAAGACCAAGGAAGTAACTTAACTCTCCAATCATGGACATCTCAAACTCATTAGCCATCATCTTTCCAAACTCATCATAAAAGTCTTGATTGGTTGATCCAAATATGATGTCATCAACATAGATTTGCAATATAAATAAATTTTTTCCAATCTTCTTGATGAAAAGAGTGGTGTCAACCTTGCCCATCATGAACCCTTTAGAGAGTAGAAAGTCCCTCAATCTCTCATACCATGCTCTAGGTGCTTGCTCCAAGCCATACAATGCATTCTTCAACTTATACACATGGTCGAGCTTCTTGTCATCTTCAAAACCAGGAGGTTGCTCAACATATACTTCTTCATTGATGTAACCATTGAGAAATACACTCTTGAGATCCATTTGATAGAGTTTGATGTTGTGGGTACAAGCATGGGCTAACAAGATCCTAATTGCTTCTAATTTAGCAACCAGGGCATATGTTTCTCCAAAGTCAAGACCTTCAACTTGTGTATAGCCTTGTGCTACCAATCTTGCTTTGTTCCTTACTACTATCCCATCTTGATCTTGCTTGTTTCTAAAGACTCATTTGGTTCTAATCACA